ACAATATCAATATTTAATATAATTTTATCGCTGAATAAGCTGAAAAAAAAACATTAGAATTTTATACAGCTGAAATTTTCTTGAAGTATGTTCTAAATATTTATAATTTCAAACAAATATAACTGTTTTATTTTTTTACTTTCTATTTTCACAGATTTTCAATCTATCAAAGCAAATTTGCTGTACTTAAATTCTTTTAACAGAGCAAAAAACTTTTTCCTTTTAGGCAGCAAAATGTTGTTGTGGAGATGGGTATTTTTTCGATTTTCCAACAAAATCCTGTAAAGTTTCGGCAAATGTTGGATTTATGTTTGGACGACTAAACGATGAATGGTCTCATATGGTTGCTTATGGTCTTGCATATCCGATGATTGTTATTATTTTAACTGCTCCATTGTGTGCTGTCTTAATTGGTATGGGAAAACGAGAAAAACGAGAAGCTGAAAGACGACGATTTGTAAGGACCATTTTTACAGTTACTCTATTTTATTCATCTAACGTTTTAGGTTCAAAACAATCAGAGTATTTCAAAATAACAGGTAAAGTTAAAAAAAAGCTAATATTTTGTTTTCAGAGACCAGCATCTGTAACTGTAATCATTCTATAATTAGAGTTTCAATTAGACATTCTTGAACCAGTATACTACTCAGTAGGTTGAATAGAAATACATTAATCTATCTAGCTGACTGTATAGCCAACAAAAAAAGATTATAGACTTTCTTCTTCTAGCCAAATCCATTATATCAAATGATATGGTTATTATCTTGCTGCGGTTGGATTAGTTTACTTTCACCATTACCATTCTCAATTTGGTACTACATTATTGGTGATGGTTATCGGTAAGAATTGATAACCATTTACTGTTTTACAAATTTTGCACTTTTTTTTTATATCGCATGACTATTACACATTTTTAATAAAAAAAATAAGTAAGTTTTATTCAGTGACTATTCTCCTAATAAAAATTTTTGTAGAAATTTTAATCAATCTATAGTGATGTGTCATATATTTCGTACCACAATGGAAGTAATCCCAAATACGGTTGATATGATGATAACGCTGTATGCTGTTGTACTTGCTGGTGGAAGGTTTGCTCAACTGGTCATCACTTAGACCACATTTATGTTCTCTATAGAAATTATTCGACTGCCTATCGCTGTTGATTCGATCTGTTCTGCACATTTCAGATTTTTGACCCAATATCATAGTAACAGCCTAAAACTTCGAACAGTTCAACGGTTTTCTAGGGCTATATGGGCAATTATGTTCGTCTGTGTGAGTGTTGGTTTTTTACGATTCTTTGAGCATGGAGCGGATGTATATCAGTTTTGTTTAGGTATGCTAATTTTAGCTTTTTTTTCTTATTTTTTTTTTGTTTTTAAAAGCAGCTAAAAAGAAACGTAAAATTCTTACTAACAAAAGAGTCTATTTTTTTCCTTTTATCTTTTGTTTAAAAATATTATTAATTTTCGTGAAAAAAACTGATCAGATTTATGCACGCACCAACTAAATCAAAAAAAAAAAGACTTTACGTTTAGAAAAAAAAAAACAGAAAAGTTTTTTCCTTTTACTTTTAAAGATAAAGAATAAGCATATGCAAAAATAATAAAAAAATTTTTTAATTAAACTGTAAACTAAAAATTATATACATTTTTCAATTAAACGAAAAAGTTATTTTTTTTT